AGCGTAACGGTACTTCGGAGAAGAGCGCCAGAGGAACGGCGGGCAACCGACAAGCCTCCGCCCAATCGAAAAGGATTCGCATCTCTTTCGACTACTCGATTCTCTCCTTCCGCGAGGAGCGACGCGCCGATCATCGGCCGCTAACCGAATCATCGGAAAAGCTCGGCCGATCGAGACCCAGAAAAGAGGGAAAAGTCAAAGTTTCTACGTCGAACAACACAAATGACCCCGTTACGATAACAATCCTCGCGATAGACCGTCACGAAAAGAACCGGCGCTCGAACCTTCGGAAGTCTCGCGAACACGAGAAGTCGTTAAAATCCAGTGTCATTAGTATGAAAAGCGTAAAGGCGCTTCACAGTTATTACAACAGATATACCGATGCTTTACAATCCGTCCTCGGTATTAGCTCGTAATGCTAATGCGTTACACAGCCGAGACTTCCGTGCTGGCTACAAAGCACCTCTTCGCAGACATTAAGTATGCGATGCCACGAAGTTCCCTCCTCTCCGGTGCCCACTTCTACGAAACACCCTTATCGCGTCCGTAACGGTCAGACGCCGCGTCGCATATTCCAATTTTCTCGTTTAACTTCTGCACGGCCGATTAATCTCCGCAGAAAAATCGCCACGATCCGAGTCGGCTCTACCGCGAAAAATGAAAACCGGTTCGCTCGTGTGCCGAGTTTTATCTCGCTACCGAACTACCGGAGCGTATTCGTTGATTATTTATTCATATTAAGCCCATTGTAATTTACATGAAATGTCATTTGTAACTGTCTTTCGAACTGCACGAAGCCGGCATTCGCAAATATACACCTCCGCCCAAGCGCACGCGCGCGCGCGGATGGAGGTCAGTACACAATAAACCTGCCCGAGTAATTTCCTGTCGGAACGACAGTCTCATTAGCCGGAAAGGATTGTCTGGTCTTTTCGGGTTGCTAATTTTTCTGCCCTCTGTCGCAAGAGTTTCGCGCAACTCCGAAAACCCTTTTACGAACCTCGGTGATGTACGTTTTCGTGATTCATCGGATGAAATCTGTAATTGGCTGCGAGCGAGCGAGCGAGCGAGCGATCGACTATCATTAGCGGATGATTAACCTACGCACCGTCGATAGCCGTCGAGAAACGAAAAATCGTTCCGCGCAGCTTCCAAGGACTGAATGGCGAGACCGTATGTCGAACGAGTAACGGTGTCCAGAGTTTATATTCGTTTTCCACGTGGTCGGTGCGCCGTAGTTGCGTCGTAGTTGCGCCGTAGTTGCGCCGCAATTGCGGTGCAATTGCGCCGGCTGGCAGGCAACTGGCGGACCGTCCGTACCCTCCAGTAGCCTGGAACCCGTAACTCCTCGCCACGGAGAGAAGACCAGTCGACTCGTAACGCTGTCCGCCGGCTTTAATACTACATATTTTCACTACACACGAGTCGAGGAGTCGAACAGTCGTATTCGACCTTCTGCCCTCGCCTCCCGAACGCCTTCTTTCGGCTACCGATACGCTTCCTGCACGGAAATCGCATTGCCGCGTTCATTTGGTCGACGGTTTGACTTCGCGCAAACGATTCCGCTATTTACACCGATCGATGAAGAATATTTTTACGAAGCTCGTTAGAAATTTGTAGAAATTAATCGTTGATCGTTATTATACGGTAACGATCTTCGTAAGTTCTAGAGCAATGTTTCCCAACCTTTTCTGTGGCCCCACCTGAGCCTTTCTAAAATTCTTACGCCGCCCTATGTAACATATGTATATATGTAATTTTTAATATTATATTATGATATTTATTATAATATTTTACTATTTTGTTTACGTGCTTAAATATTGTGAAATATACGAAGTGACATTTCAAATTTCAAACTGCGCCCCTTAAAAATCAAATTGCCTGAAACACTGTTCTAGAGATTGTTTAGCACTCGAAGGAATAAATCTTGTAAGTGAAGGATGTGAAACGTTACAGTTACAGATGTGTCCTTTACGTAGAAATATGTCCGCGTATATTTAAACGTAATCGTTGGGTGCGCTGAAGCTTTTCACGCTTCGCGACGCGCATCATATCTGTTTCCTGGGGATCATGACCCGTGACCGGGTCCTAGTCGAAACAATGTTTAAACGACTGCCTGCGAGGGAGAAATCGTGCTTGTTGGAATCGAAATGGATCGTCGGAACCGGTTACCGATCGTATGTAAGGCTAATTCGAAATTTCGCTACGAGTTACGTTTAACCGGAATATCGGAAAAGACAGGTAGGCAGAAGATATGAGATTCGAACAATAAGCGAGGATGTAAATCTGTCGCGAACGCGAACGCGAACAGAAATCGCAAAACGATACGACCGGCACGTTGGAATCTATTATGGCAATCCGTGAACAATAACTCTTCCTCCACTCTCGGCGTTTAATGGCCGTCCATCTATTTAACGTGAAGGAAGAGGAAGTGGCTGTGATGGGTAGATAGGTCGAACGTTTTGTAACTAATTTCGCGAGTAAATTGTCCGTAACATTGGTTCGGTGCAGTCCGACTAAACGTAACGACAACGAAACGGAGTTGCCGAAGCCGAATCCCGGTACGAGTATGCTCGCTGCGAGGCAAAAGCCACCTACACGATTATACCGCCGAGGAAACTCGGGTACGTTAAATTTCGCTAAACCGCGATCCCGTTCCCTATCTAATTAATTACCGATCGCCATCGAGGCAAATGTAGTAGTTCGTTGATCGGCCCGGCAGAGATCGATTCACGCGATTCTGTCGCATCGGTCCGAAATTCGTGAAAGCCGTACCGCAATCGTCGAACTTCAATGATTGGAAAATGAATTGCCCGATCGTTATACGCGCTGAACGCGAACAACTGCGACGAGCAACACCATCCACCCACCTAAACCAGCCGCCTCTGACTCGCCGCTGACTCGCTGTTTCTCGTGAGTCATTGCAACGAGCAACGAACACTGTATCGATGAACCGGCTGGATGCGTATTGCGCGGATAATGCGAATAACAACAACAGAATCTTCGAAAATACCCCGTGTTGCCTCATAAAAGATTAATCGGTGAGGGAGGATATTTACGAAGGAAAATTATCGATTCGAGAGGTTTGCTTTCCGGGATAGCGAGCGCTGCTAGGGGTCCGTGAACGAGAAAATACGGGCGGACGATAATCGGCCCGGTAATGTTAAACGCGTGAGAGAGTTTCCCTTCGTACAAACAATAGCGTCCTCGTGTTTTAACTCGGCAATCTTCGGTTCTAATGTTAATTACGTTTGTTCTTCGATCGAGCGTCGAGCGTCGAACGAAATAATCGGTGGAGCGGTAATCATACGCAGAACCGAAGCGAAGGGCGGTGAACCGTGGAAATGGTTCGTCCGGTGGTCGTCGGGATGCCCTTTCTGCCTAGCCACGATAATCGTGGATTTCCGTCCGCTTATTATCTTACGCGCGTCACAATGCGTTTAGATTGCATTCAGGTAACGGCTAATTAGCGATTCGATGCCATTCCCTGCGCCCGCGGCCGACCATCCTCTCGACTAGAAGAGGGTGAACGCTTCCACCGGGTTTGCCTCGTGCGCTTTCTCCAATTTCGGACTGCGCGAGAATCCCCTTTGATTCCCTTGAAACGGAGGCACGCCGCGAAATATCGGAATTCGTTGCTCGAAGCGGGATTTCGCGTCAACGAACGTACACACACACACACCGAGGCAGCGAAATCGTTAGCAACGATCGTGTCAATCGCACGGATCGCCGTTACTATAGTCGACCGCCGTTCAGGCGTCATCCGGCAGAATTTTGCTTACGCTGAGCCATTATAATGGTAACGGTGTCAAAAAACCGGTTTCACATTATAGACACGATATCTATATTCGTCATTGTAGAAAAAACCGTGCCAATGCCTCATGCACGAAAACGAAACGCCTCCGCGAAAGCCGACATCGAGATCGCATTTCATCGATAGGATTAGAAAAACTGGGAGCTTCGGAATTTCAATTACTAATATTGGATCGGCGCTAATCGGGTTTCACGAGAATTACTCGGATCGATGTTTCGGAGGATGAACGAACAAACGTATTCGTTACGTTCAACCATAAAATGAATTCGTCGCGCGTCTCGGCGTTGCCGGCGATCGCCGCGCGACGATAAAAATTCTTCGGGACTCCCTAGAATGTTGGGGGATTTCTGTTTCACTAGGTTCTCGATGAAAACGATCTCAGACCGACAGACTATAACGGAAATGAGCTACGAGATATTTATAGCGTAAGCACCTACATACTGTACATATGTGTACTTAAGTATGTAGACATTAACACTGTTAGCTTTGTAATGTGTGGTTAACAGCCAATTTCGCTGGAATAGACAAATGTCTTTCCTTAGCCCCGTCGAATTCGATTTAGTTTCGATGATATCTATTTATCGAGGCCGCAAACGCGCGTGTAAACAACGGCGAACGATGCGACACGGCTAAGAGGCACAAAGCGAAATTATCTCTCTGAAGACAACTGGAAAGAATACAGATTACAGCGAGAAAAGTGGTGTAGCTGCATAGGCATCGACGATCGAGCAAGAGAGAAAGAGAAAGAGAAAGAAAAGGAGAGACAGAGAGAGAGAGGTGTGCGCGTCGTTCAAGTTTCTCGGCAAGGTGGAAAGGCGTGCGACGCGTGTCCCAGACGGACGGCGTATCAAAGAATATTTGCCCTGTCAACACACGGCTTAGCGTGGAAACGCCGCTGCGTCTAGAAAGGAAGAACGATCGCTCGAAGCGAGATAATAGTAATGGGCATTATTACTTTGCTCTATTATTTTACGATCCACCGTTTCCCTGGAATCGATACGTTATCTCGGAGACCTTTTTCCAAGCGAGCAAACCGTACATTTCTAAGGAGCGAGGAAACATAATTGCATCGGTAACGAATTCATTGCGGTACACGCCTCGACGAAAGATCGTGATTGCCCGACAACGCGAAAATCGAACGACGTCGGTTGTGACGATTTACTCGGCAAACGAATAACATGCTCACCTGCATCTGCAGCCAAGAGTAATCGATGTAGGTAGTTGTACTAGCGGTGACAGCACCGGCGACGCTTGTAGCGGACGAGATCTGCTGCCAGTTGTCTTGACCGGTACAGCCGAGTACCGGCAATCCGTCGGGCTGACCCCGATCCGGAACTATCTGATCGGCATACTGATAGGGTGGTTGAATCGTCGGTTGTCCACCGGGGGGCAAACTCGCTGGATGAGGGTGCTGGGCCCCCGAGCCGGCACTAGCGGGCAGGCAGCACACGCTCACGTCCATCCGTGGTGGCGGAGAATCGTAGAAACGTTGCTGCTCCAGCTCCAGCCCCAGCTCCAGTTCCAGCTCCAGCTCCAGCTCCGGCTCCAGCTCCGGCTCCAACTCTGGCTGCTCCCAAATCGACCTCTCAAGGGTTAGCCCCCGCGGAACCATCCAATCTGAGAACTCAGTGCACCCCTTTGGATCGCCTTGCGTCCTGCAATTGCCACCCTCTTCTCGTTGCTACTACGCGCGTTGCTCGAACGACTCAATGTCTCGATGAAATCGTCAACTCTTCCGCGATCATACTCCGCGAAGATTCTGTTGCGCCGTTTAAATATCGCGCGGAGGTACCGGTTGGGAATACACAACGTCACACCGTTGAATCGATCTCGTTTTTCCCGGCGAAAAAGCGGATCATGCAACTCCTCTGAGAAGCGAAGCGACAATTCATTTTCCCAGGTGTGCCTCTCGTTCCGGAGGCGACGAGGCGATGTCGGAAACGATCGTCGTGTCGATACCTCGTCAATACTTGGATGTTTATCACCGCCACTGGTTTTCCATCACTTGCCTTCGGTTCTTGGTTACGCGTCGGAACAACGTACATTCGGTGCGCCTATTTCAATCGAAAACGGAGAACGAATGCCGCGCGCACAGAGGATGTCGTGTCACCGGTTCGCGTATCACGAGAGAATTCCATTTTCACGTTTCGATTCCCATCGGTTCCTTTCTCGCTTCCTCCTCCGGAAGCTTCCTTCGGTTTCGGTTAACGCGTGCCGGAAACGATCAGCATTTAGACTTCGCCGTGTGCTCTCCGTCGTCTCTCTCTGTTTTCTCGAATGAGAACGAACTCATCGATCGGCGCGCCTGTAATCGTAAAGAAAGTCAGGATGTCGAGTCAGGTCGCTTGGCTCGACAAGCATCGTCGTCGATAGGTGTCCAGGGTACCGAGAGTCGTACGCATAGCGTTGGTAACCTTACAACACAGAATATTGTCACGGTGCGTGTTCTGCGAGCTGAATGTCCTCGGTGTTACTTCGCGAACCAAGCTCTTCGAATTTCACCACCGTACCGTGGAACGCGCGAAAGCGCGCGTGCAAGCACACACACAAACATACACACACACAGAACCGATCGGCTTCGCGCCAACACAAAATCGGACTCGTCCGGAACGAAGCAACTCGTCGACTCGACGTCGGGGATCCAGTCAATCTACGTAAAAGTTTCCGATTCTCGGCCGACAAACGGAATCCCGGGAGTCGCGAGCGCCGGTTCTTCGCTCCGTTCCAGAAGACCTGTGGCAAGGGAACCAGTGGAAACGTGAAAATGTAAAAACGCCGTCGATACCGGTCAATCGACGAGCCAACGGCGATACGGTCGCGCCTTATCGCCGGCACCTTCGACGCGTGACAACCGTACACTCTTGCTCGCGATACGCGAATCTTGAAACGCACGGGAGAAAGAAGAAGAGGTGGAGAACGTGGTAACGCAGAAGAGGGAGAACGAACAGCGGGAGGAGGAAATGGACGTGGTGGCGAACACAGAGGTGGGGATGTTCGGGGGTGGACGTGAATGTAGATGTGGATGTGGATATGGAGATGGCGACGTGGATAGCGGTGGTGGTAGCAGCGGCAAAAATGAAAATTGCGCGAACGCTCATCGGCCGGTGCTAATAGATCCGCCGTGTACTAGCAACGTTCTCACCGATGACAACGCGTGCTCCCGTTGACGCGGATTCTGCTTCTTTTCCGATCGACACCTTTGTTTCCACCCTCCCTTCCTCCCTCCTACCCTCACTCACACTTTTTCTCTCTCTTTCTCTTTCCCTTTCCCTTTCTCTTTTCCTTTGCCCCTCTTTCCCTCTCCCTGTTTCTCTATCATTCCGTCCCACCCACCGTCTTTAACCCCTGCTATCTTCCTGCTATCCGTGGGGAAGCAGCGCGAGGCGACGCTGTATTCGATTCACAGGGGGAGGCTCCAATGTACCGACGGAGAAGCGGCAACGACGACAAGGACGATGGTACCGAACGCCGGTGGTAGTGGTAGCGGTAGCGAATGGTAGTGGTGGTGGTGGTGGTGGTGGTAGCAGGCGGCAGCGTCGTCAACGGCGACGATGACGACGAAGGTGTCAACGAGAAATGGTAATAGAGAAGAAGAAACGCCGGTAGAGGTGGAGAAAAGGCGGTGGTAGTGGTAAACGGTTCGCGAGGGTGGCGAACGCAACTGGTGCTCGTGACGAGATAGCGGTGCAGCCGGTATCGCATACGCGCATGCGTGAACACGTGTCGTCAAGGCAACGGTTCCGGAGTAACTGCCCGGTGAACGCAGCCCTCCGCGATCGGTGCTCTTTTCACTCTTTCACTCTCTCCGTCTCCCTCCCTTCTGATCGGCCGTTTCGTTCCAACCGTATTCGTCTGCCTCCTTCCCTCTTCGTTCCTCCAACCTGGTAT